ACGCGCAGGCTCAGCAGCCATGGCTCACGGGCCCAGCCGCTCTGCAGCATGTGGGATCTTCCCGGGCCAGGGCACGAACCCATGTCCCCTGCATTTGCAGGTGGACTCTCAACCACTGTGCCACCAGGGAAGCCCTGTTTTTAATTTTTTGAGAAAACTTCATACTGTATTCCATGGTGGTTGTACCAATTTACATTCCCACCAACAGTGCACAAGGGTTCCCTTTTCTCGACACCCTTGCCAACACTTGTTAGTTCTTGTGTTTTTGATCATAGCTGTTCTAACAGGTGTGAGGTGATATCTTATTGTGGTTTTGATTTACATTTCCCTAATGATTAATAATGTTGAGTATCTTTCATGTACCTGTGGCCATCTGTATGTCATCTTTGGAAAAATGTCTATTCATACTTCTGCCCATTTTATAATCAGATTGCTTGGGCTTTTTATTTTTCTCTATTAAGTTGTATGAGTTCTTTATATTTTGGATATTAGCCCCTTAGCATATATATGATTTGCAATTATTTTCTCCCATTCAGTAGGCTGCCTTTTCATTTTGTGGATCTTTTCTTTTGTTGTGCAGAAGCCTTTTACTTTGATGTAGTCCCACTTGTTTATTTTTGCTTTTGTTTTCTTTGCTTTTGGTGTCAGATTCAAAAAATTATTGCCAAGACCTATGTCAAGGAGTTTACCGCCTGTGTTTTCTTCTAGGAGTTTTATGGTTTCAGGTCTTACATTTAAGTCTTTAAGCCATTTTGAGTTAATTTTTTGTGCACAGTGTAAGATAGTGATTCGGTTTTATTCTTCTGCATGTGGCTGTCCAGTTTTCCCAACACATTTATTGAAGAGACTCTCCTTTCTCCATTATATATTCTTAGCTCCTTTGTTGTAAATTAATTTACCATATATGCTTGGGTTTTTTTTTCTATGTGTCTCTTCTTATGCCAATACCATACTGTTTTAATTACTACAGCTTTGTTATATAGTTTGAAATCAGGGAACATGATGCCTCCGGCTTTGTTCCTTCTCAAGATTGCTTTGGTTATTTGGGGTCTTTCATGGTTCCATACAAATTTTAGGATTGTTTGTTCTATTTCTGTGAAAAATACCATTGGAATTTTGATAAGAATTGCATTGAATCTGTAGATTGGTTTGGGTAGTGTGGACATTTTAACAATATTAATTATTCCAGTCCATGAGCATGGAGTCTTTCCACCTATTTATGTCTTCTCAGTTTCTTTCATTAAGGTGGTGTTGTTTGCAATATACAGGTCTTTCACCTCCTTGGTTAAATTTATTCCTAGGTTTCTTACTCTTTATGATGCAATTGTAAATGGGATTACTTTCTTAATTCCTCTTTCTGATAGTTTCTTACTAGTGTAAAGAAAAACAACTGATTTTTGTGTATTGATTTTATATACTGCAACTTTACTGAATAAATTTATTAGTTCTAACAGTTTTTTGATGGAGAACTATTTTTTTTAATATCTAATGATTTATTTATATATAATCTCTGCTGCTCCAGAAAGCACTTAGGGACTGCAGGATATCTGTATATCCAACGAAGTCTTTGCATGTTTTTTTGTGTGTGTTTATTTATTTATTTATGGCTGAGTTGGGTCTTTGTTGCTGTGCATTGGGATTTCTCTAGTTGCGGTGAGCGGGGGCTACTCTTCGTTGTGGTGCACAGGCTTCTCATTGCGGTGGCTTCTCTTGTTGTGGAGCATGGACTCTAGGCGCGCAGGCTTCAGTAGTTGTGGTGCTCGGGCTCAATAGTTGTGGCTCACAGCTCTAGAGCTCAGGCTCAGTAGTTGTGGCACACAGGCTTAGTTGCTCCGCGGCATGTGGGATCTTCCCAGACCAGGACTTGAACCCGTGTCCCCTGCATTGGCAGGTGGATTCTTAACAACTACGCCACCTGGGAAGTCCCATTTGCGTGTTGAATAATGGCCCCAGACTTCTTTTTAAATGTGCAGGAAAAGCTGGACCCACACGGTCCCAGTCGGACTGCTAGATGGCAGTAGAAGCACACGCTGTCTTTAGACTCTGGTCAATAGATCTCACAGAGAGGAAGGGGCTTTCAGGGGTAGCTGGTTCATTCCGTGCCATTTTACAGGTAGGAAAGCTAAAGCCCCAGGGAAAGACACTGACCAAAGCTAGGTAGCCAAACAACCTAAATTGTATACAGATTGCTGAATTTTGTGATTTAATATTTGTAGGAAAAATTTCCTTATGGATTCATTTGAAAACTATTTAAAATATCTGGTGTAAAAAAAATTTTTTTAAGTAGCAGTACAAACAAATAGAAATGAGATTAAAAGTAAGTCTTCCTCCCACCTGAACCCCATATTCCCACAGGTGTCTTCCCCAGAAACCCTGCTGCTGGCAAGTTCTTGAACAACTATCCAGAGATACATTTAATTACACACACACACACACACACACACACACACACACACACACACACACACACACACTTGGCTGTGGCACATTTGTAATATCCAGACTGTGTGTGTGTGTGATCAAATGGATATAATGTGTGCATGGAGTATAAAATAATATGAACAAAAGTGGGGAAGCTGTGGACCCCAGGAAAATGTCTCCTTCACCTTCTCAATCTTGCTGGAAAAAAAAAAAAGAAAAAGTTCATGAAGTGGTTTCTAAACTCTGGAGTGGCTTTATTTTTACCATTTCTCTGTTGATTTAACAGATTAAAACTCTGCCAGAGACACCTATAGTATCGATCTTGGTAAATCCTGCCTTCTGAAGCTCTCCCTGATGTAATTAAATTACTGTAAATACAATTAGAAGGCCCCTCTAGGTGGTCTGTGTGACACCAGCCTTAAAGGAATTGTCTTGAGATATTTGAACCAAAGTAAAGAGCAAAGTGGCGGAATCCCCTTAATCTTTGAGGGTCAATCCTTTGAGGATTTGTGGCCATGAAATAACAGGCAATCGGTTTTAGACGTGGAAAGCAGCCCTTTCAGGAGATATTTTTCACAGCCCTCACTGGCCTTCAGGGTCAGTGTAGGGGCTCCAGCCCCTGTTGCCAGCTTCCTGACTCCCCCAAATCCTTCCACCAATGATTTGCAAACTCTGCATCCAATCTGGAAGAGGAAAGTCTGAGTAGTTAGTACTTTGCATCCAACACCTTTTGCATAGCGTTGGAAGCTGTTGCTATGTGGTCCACGTGTGTTGCTCAACAAGCTTAAACTTTGCATAGCCCGTGCTAAACTAATTTGCGTCAATTTGTCTACATCATGCCAACAATCGTTCTGAGAGTCTTGAATAGAACATACAAGGCTGCTGATAAAGGCCCTCGGAGCAGATGCCGCCGGCCATTCTATGGGGCCTCACTGTGGCTAGTTCTTCACCATGGTTTCTTCATATCCTAGTGACAATGTTAGTTTTTCCACCCTGGGGTTAAAACTTTTTTTTCCCTAAACAATGGACAGCACTATACAACTGGCACTCCAACTGACTTTTTTTTTTTTTTTTTAAAGAAAGACATGGCTGTGGCTGAATTCTAGCCCTAATGTTTCCTAATCACTTTCTTTCCCCGAAGTTTCAGAGAAAGCAAGTGGAGTAAAGTTATTTAGAAAGGATTTGTGCAACTGTGACAAGGTGCTTTTATTGTTTGTCATTGTTTTGGACTAAAATTTCAAGCTAAAAACATCACTTGTAACTAAACTTGTATCACTGATACAAGACAGCCAAAGTAATTTGTGCTATATGAACTCTAGGAAATAATCTCACATTTAGGAGAAACTTAGATTTTTTTTCAAAGCCAGGTCTGGAAATGTATTGTTTTGGTTGGTTGGGGAAGGCACCAGAGACCCTGGGGGAGCTAATTGAATCTGTCTATGAAATCCACTCAGTCTGTGGTTTATTCACCTGTTTGTGGGTTTTGTCATTTTGTAATGCCTCTTCCCACATTAACCCATTTATTTAATGATCTAAAAACTACCCTGCAAAAACTAATAAATGTCTAAATGTTTGCAATTGTGTTGTGTCAATATGTCTAGATAGGAGTAACCAGTAAGAATTTATTAAATTCAGTAAGTTATTATTGAGTGCCTACTGTATGCCAGCCACCCTTCCAGGCACTTTGGATATAGAAGTGATATAGTCTTTGCTATTGCGGCATAAGAAACAGAAACTAAACAGACTAAATAACAGGCGGTGGGAATGCCAGTTAGTGGGGATTGTTAAGAAGAAAACAACACAAGAGGGAGGAGATATGGGGATATATGTATATGTATAGCTGACTCACTTTGTTATACAGCAGAAACTAACACACCATTGTAAAGCAATTATACTCCAATAAAGATGTTAAAAAAAAAACAACGAAAACTTAAGGGAAGAAGGTGGGCAAAGAGCTACTTTGGTTACAAAAGACAGAGAAGATATCACTGATGAGATGACGTTTGAACAGAAACTCGAGGGAAGGAACACATTTTGAGAATGTCAGTGGTCCTGGCAGAGGAAACAGTGGGAGCCAAAGTCCCCTAGGTGTGGAATGGTTTTGCATGTTCATGACCAGTGCAGCTGGAGAGCAGGGAACTAGGGTGCAAGAAGGCAGGAGATGAAGTCCCCAAGAGATGAGGATAAAGAGAAATGGCAAATGCTGTAGCATCATGGATATCTCCACTATTCAGTGTCACAGTGAGTCTAGATATCAGCAGACTGATCCCTGGTCTCTCAAGCTCTACTTGCAGACAACTGTAGAAAGAGGTGGGCTGGCTGACAGGATCTGGAGCTGATTATAGCTATTTCAATTTGAAAAAAATTAGATTTGAGCTGCTCACAATCATTAGTAATTGTTATGAACTGAATGTGTCCCCCATAAAATTCACATGTTGAAATCTTAATCTCCAGTGTGATGACATTAAGAGGTGAGGCCTTTTGAGAGGTAATTAGGTCATGAGGGTAGAACCCTCATGAATGGGATTAGTGCCCTTATAAAATGGACCTCAGAGAGCTTTCTGCTGTCTCCACCATAGGAGGACCCAATGAGAAAACAGTCATCTGCAACACAGAAGAGGGCCCTCACCAGAATCCCACCATGCTGTCATCCTGATCTCAGACTTCCAGCTCAGAACTGTGAGAAATAAATTTCTGTTGTTTACAAACCTATGGTATCCTGGTATAGCAACCCAAATAGGCTAAGACAATAGTTAAAATTTTCTTAAAGTTAGAGCAACAATGAGATATAACTTTTCTACCAGTGATCTGGCAAAAATTAGAAAGCTGAATAATGCCAAGTTTCAGTGGAGACAAGGGGACAGTGGAACCCTCCTGTACATCTCATGTGATGGTAGACAAGTACAGCCATTCTAAAGAACAATCTGGAATTATTTAGGCAAATTAAATATCTGAGATATCCTATGACGTAGCAGTGCTGTTCCTAGTATTCATACATTCCATAGAAATTCTACTGTGGAAAAAAGACGAGAGCCTAGGAATTTAAAAACAAGACTTTGTAAGAATTGCATTGCAGGGAGAAGGGAAGGAAGTGCTCACCAACCAGGACCTGGGGGGCACCACATCCTGGTTTCATATCACATCAACATTGTATACTTTCTTTTAACCATAAATACAGCTTGTGATCCCTCCAGGAATTGCCAGTGCAGATCTCATACATACTGGAGGGCTGGGCCACTCACCTTCCAGCAGCAAGGTTGACTACTACCCCTCCTCCCTGACTCCATCAGGGGTCAACCCACCTCCACAGCATGCGCAGGGCCAAGGCCAGGGTACAAATGGAGGCCTACATACTATGAATAAATCTTTAAAATTTATGAAGAAAACAGTCAAATATGTTCTATCCTCCTCCCTTGACAAATATTCCTTCATGACAACCTAGAAGGTAACATTTGAATTTAGAATTCTTGGATTCCCTGGAACACAGAGGAGCCAGCTCCCAGCCTGCAGCCTGCTCCTCTGCTCTTTCCACTCTGGACTAGCCTGCACCAGGAGGAGAGTTGAGTGCATATGTGAGGACATCCAACCTGCACGTCCAAACTCCAACCATACTCCCACTTCCCACTGAACAGCTGCTGCAGGGCTGCCCCTCAGGCCTAGCAGCACTATTGGTTTTTTTTCAGAAAGACATTAAGGAAGAGGATTTCACAGGCCCCATAGGTGAACTTGGGATACTCTGAGGTCCAGAGGGAGCATGTCTCCTTAACCCTGTGGACTCTTTGTTCCATGAAGTGTGATACAGCTAGAAAAGGATCAGAGTGGAGCCCTGTAAAATGAGGGGACCAGGGCATAGGCCCCACTTTCCTGGCTATGAAGGTAGTACTTTTAGAAAAGTAGGTGGGGCCAGGTTGTGATGATAGGGCCTTGAATGCCATGTTATGGAATGTAGACTTTATTTCTTGAGCAGTAGGGAACCATGATGGGTTTTTTTTTTTTGATTAATTTATTTTTGGCTGTGTTGGGTCTTCATTGCTGGGCGCGGGCTTTGTTTAGTTGCAACGAGGGGGGCTACTCTTTGTTGCGGTGCACGGGCTTCTCATTGTGGTGGCTTCTCTTGTTGCAGAGCACAGGCTCTAGGCACTGTGGCTCGCGGGCTGTAGAGTGCAGGCCTAGAGTTGTGGTGCACAGGCTTAGTTGCTCCATGGCATGTGAGATCTTCCTGAACCAGGGGTCAAACCTGTGTCCCCTCCCTTGGCAGGCGGATTCTTAACCACTGAGCCACCAGGGAGGCCCAACCATGATGGTTTTAAAGTAGCGCTTTATGATAGTAAAACTAGACATAATAGTAGAACCATTTTGAGACAATTAAAAGTCAAACTGCCCAAAATACTAAGATACCACTTACTAGCTATGGAGCCTTAGGTGATTCTCCTTAACTTCTCTGGGCTTCAGTTCTCCATCTGTAAAACAGGTGAATTGGACAAGATTAACAATGTCAAAAGTCCCTTCTGTCAGGACCTGTTTTTCTTATCTGTAAAACAAGTGGGTTGAAGCAGATCAGGGATTCTCAACATGGGCTCCACTGAGGGGTTATGTCCTTCCCCCACACCAGACTTTGTAAATCAGGATCTCATTTTTTTTTAATATGTATTTATTTGGTTGCACTGGGTCTTAGTTGCAGCAGGTGGGTGCCTTAGTTGCGGCTCGCTGGCTCCTTAGCTGCGGCACACAGGCTCCTTAGCTGCGGCATGTGAACTCCTAGTTGTGGCATGTGGAATCTAGTTCCCTGACCAGGGATCGAACCTGGGCCCCCTGCATTGGGAGCGTGGAGTCTTAACCACTGCGCCACCAGGGAAGTCCCAGGATCTCATTTTTTAAAGTTCCTCCAGGTGACTGAGAACCCCTAGACCTGAAGATACTCTCCAAGGTCTCTCTTCCCTCTCCACCTGAATTTCTCCATGTGAAAAAGAGCACTTTGGGTAATATCATCAGTCTTCTCTTATATATAAAGCTTCTCTTACTTTAGGGACTCAAGACCTTCCTGAGGCTCAGCGATTCAAACAAGCTAGGGCTTTGTCAGAGGAGGAACCACGGCTCTGAGGGAGGCCCTTCTGATCATGGGGTCACCTGCATTAGTGTGAAGCAGCAAGTGGGAGCTGGGGTTTGAAGCCTAGGCAGACAGGTGCTGCTCATGAGAACCCGTGGATGGAGCTGCCAAGGTTGGGACTTGGCACAGGGGAGGCCACTTCTCAACCAGAGTGAATGGCCTGACGTTTCCTGGCAGCTCCTCGGTTCGGCCAGGCACCTGCAGGCCACCCCTTCTTGGCAGGTGAGGAGGAGCAAGGAGAATAGGGCTTTTCTCAGGCTGTTCCCCAGAACAATATCTCTTGACATCTGGGGAGACAAGGGGTGGAAAAGATAAGCCTCTGCATGTTCCTCTCAGCCTGCAAAGTCCTTGCTGGTGAGGTTGGCAGGAAAGGGAGTTTGTGTTGAAGTGCCACTTTCCAGCTCTACATCCGGAGCTTAGCATGTTCCAGGCACCGTGAATGAGTCTGGCGGATGCTTTGTATCAAATGTAAAGTGGCCTCTTTTCACACGGTTGGCACTGGGGGCCAGTGACTACTCGGTAGAATCCAGAGCTCGCCGGGAACTTGACAGGGCCGAGCATGGGGCCTGAATTGCGTCTCTGTGGGGCCGCAGGGACAATGCCGTCACCATAGAACAGGATTCTCAAGCCTGGAAAGGATGAAGTCCTTCTGTTAGAGACCAGTGAGTTCCCTCTGTCACCGTCCACCCCTCCTGGAGCGCAGGCCTCAAGTACAAGGACCACAGATTCCACACAAGACTCTGGGACATGACATCTCAGTTCTGGAGATTGGATACCAAAATATCAGAATGTCCGGGATAATCTCACAGCTTACGTGAACAACAGGAAAGAATACTATTTTAATAAAGATTGTCCCTGGAAATCTGAGGTTCACATTAAAGTAATATTTACCACTTATTTTTTATGAATTAAGGAGAAATTTTATTTCCAAGATCTTCAAAGATTATTACAAACATAAACTATCCTTTTAAAAGTGTGTCGAGTTAAATCAAAATGACATCATCAAAGTTAAACACTTGTGACATTAAGAATTCTTTTAGGTTGTAATATTTTCATATTACTTTGTTTTAACCATTTGCAGTGTTCTGCAGGTCACATTTTAAACATTTTTTAAAGACATGACATAATGTAGTATTTTCTAAAAGTACAACCACAACCATAAAGTAGAGGAACTTGAGAAGACCAAGATCAAATCTATTTCATATACCACATGGGACAATCTAATACACAACACAGCATTAATCTTTCCAAACATGTTTTCTAAGAAATAGTTCCCATGTTTAGTGTTAAAAATAAAATAATCTTCTCATTTATAAAAACAAAAACATCATTTGATTAGTAAAGCCTATTCTTCCCCCAGTTTTGTTTTTGCTTGCCTTCGTTTAGAAATTGTAAATTCATGAGAAAAGAACAAATTTTTGTTATAGTATAAAAAACTTAGGAATAATTACAGATATTTAATTTTAAAAAAAATAAAAATGTTTTCCTTAAAATGTAACCATTCAGTAAATAAAACATATATAATATTCCAGGTATAGAAACACTAGTAATTCACTTGTGAAAGAGATGTACTTTAATATATTTCATTATAATTGTTTGGTTTGCCTTAAGTATAAAGCACTTCACCAAAAGAGCCAGGTCATTATTATTTAAAAGTTTACTCCTTCACCCAGTTTCCTTATTTGAATTGATTCATCAATTTCTATAGAATTTTGGCCACAGGTAAGGTCTGAAATATCTAACAGTCATTTGGCTAGAGAAGAGTGTTAATTTTGATTTGTGGAGGCAGTTATTCACTACTTTGTGCTTGAAAGTATTCCTCAGCGAACTTCTTCCCCACAGTCTTCAGAGCAAAACCCAGGATGTGGGCTCCCAGAAGGGGTTGACTCCACCTGGAATTTGGACCAGCAGGGCAACCTTGCAGGCCTTCTGCAAGCAGTACTGCCTGAAGCCTTGATCTTCTCCACCCTGGCCTCCCATGTGAGCTGCTCCACCAGGGGAGTGCCAGGCTTCCAGGGTGGATAAGTGGGGCTGGGCTGAGCCTTGAGGTCTTCACCCTTATTTATACCTTCTCTGTGCTGGTTCATCTTCTAAGATCCTTAAAAAACAACCTACAATGGTGTTATGGTCTGAATTATGTTCCCCCTGCCCGGCCAAAATTTTATGTTCAAGTCCTAACCCTCAATATCACAGGATGGGACTGTATTTGGAGATAAGGGTCTTCAAGAAGTAACTGAGTTAAAATGAGGTCATTAGAATAGGCCCTAGTCCAATATGACTTGTGTCCTTATAAGAAGAGGAGATTAGGACATAGACAACACAGACAGAGGGACAACCATGTGAAGACACAGCCATCTACAAGCCAAAGAGAGAGTCTCAGGAGAAACCAACCCTGCTAACACCTCGATCTTGGACTTCTACCCCCCAGAACTGTGAGAAAATAAATTTCTGTGGCTTAAGCCACCTACTCTGTGGTGTTTGTTATGACAGCCCTAACAAATTATTACAGATGGAGATACTATTATTCCCATTTTACAGCTGGGGAAACACTGAGGTTCAAGGACGTGAAGCT